ATCCATCCCACCTCACAGGTGTGGCATATCAAGATGCTGATTAGACAGCATGATTATTGCACAGGTGTGCCTTAGGCTGGCCACAATAAAAGGCCACTCTGAAACGTGCAGTTTTGCTTTATTGGGGGGGTCTGGGGAGGTCCGAAAACCAGTCAGTATCTTGTGTGAGGGGTAGGATTAGGGTTAGGGTTAGGGTTAGAGTTAGGGTTAGGGTTAGGGTAATGTTGTGAATCGAGTGGCCTGTGTTCGTCGTCCATAACATACGCCTGCCCATACCATAACTCCACCACCACCATGGGCCACTCGATTCACAACATTACCCTAACCCTACCCTACCCTAATCCTACCCCTCACACCAGATACTGACTGGTATTTTCGGACCCCCCCAGACCCCCCCAATAAAGCAAAACTGCACGTTTCAGAGTGGCCTTTTATTGTGGCCAGCCTAAGGCACACCTGTGCAATAATCATGCTGTCTAATCAGCATCTTGATATGCCACACCTGTGAGGTGGGATGGATTATCTCGGCAAAGGAGAAGTGCTCACTATCACAGATGTTTTTCAGATTTGTGAACAATATTTGAGAGAAATGGTTATTTTGTGTATATAGAAAATGTTTTAGATCTTTGAGTTCATCTCATGAAAAATGAGAGCAAAAACAAAAGTGTTGCGTTTATATTTTTGTTCAGTGTATATATATACATTTTGTGTTATATACAACTTTGTGTTGCTTTCAAATAAAGCCATACCACAAAAGTCCTTGGATGTTTTACTATAACCTCTGCTGTGGGTGAAGCAGGCAGCTTTTGCACCAGACTCACAATATAGTGGACACACTGCCACCATCTGCTGACATGTGTAGGGAACTGTTCAAGAGGCAGGTTTACTGAGTTATCTGCATAACTTTGCTGAGTAAAATCCAAAACCCCACTGAATCTTTCCTCATGTTTAAGATATTGTATCGTATAATAGGATACGATAATACTTTAATGGTCAGATCAAGACTGAAATTTGACTTGCATCACAGCAGCTCCATGTGTAACCTCAACATAGATAAATACAAAGACACAATACATGAAAAACAAACAACAAACATTTAACATAACAGCACAATCACTGAGTGAAAACATGCTCAAAGACCCTTTAGCGTGCGTTTGCTCTGTATTTACTGTGAGGATTGACTGATGCACAAAGGATGCTTCAGTCTGACTTTATTGTATCGCAGGACCCTGTATCTCCGATTAGAAGGTAGCAGTTCATATTCGCTGTTCAGAACATGGTTAGGGTCCGAGATGATGATGTTGGACAGCCTTCTAGAAATAGAAGTAATAGATCTGTTTTCCAGATCATTCAGTCACAGTACTTCTAGAACCAGGCATCATGCTGTGATGATTGACATACTAAGACAAAAATATGAGAGCTATAAAAACACACATTTTGTCAGACTTGAATTCTCCCTACATGTTTTAATTGCTAAAGATGTCTCATGCAGCAAAGGTGTGAAATCAATGGGGTGGATTACACTGTCTCAGACTGACTGACTGACTGCTGAGTGGCACCACGCATCTCTTTACCCTTTATTTCCAGCAACATCAATCCAGCACAAAATATCGAAAATATGTGGAAGATGCCTTTCAGGATATATTCAAGACATTTATAGAGAATCTGTCTTTCGCTCATGTCAGGTGTTGTAGAGCCCGCAAGAACAACCTCTTTTTGCTTTAGCTTTGATGTTATTAAACACAGATGTCTCATGCCTCGGTACATCCTTGCTTAATGTGGATTTGAATTTGAGTTGATTGTTTGTGTAGGTTGTTGTAATTATGTTTTGGTAAAACTGATGTTGTGATTTTATTCCTGAGTGCGGCTGATATTTGCGCTTCCATATCTATTGGTAGTTATTATTGGCAGTATAGGGCTCTCTGGGGTTATTGCAGCGTCCTTTGCTATTTCTGAGAGCGTATGTGGAGTCTATGTTCACGGTTGCCATGGAAACCATTGTATTTGTGGTTGCAGTGATTGGTGCTGCCGGCCGAGAAAGACTCTGCTATTTTTGTCACGAGTCAACACCTGATACACACACATTTAAACACACACACACGCACACACACACACACACACACACACACACACACACACACACACACACACACACACACACACACACACACACACACACACACACACACACACACACACACATTTAAACACACACACACATACTTGTTTTAGTGATATATGCTATTTGAGCATGTGTTTGTTTCACATCTCTCCTCAGTGTTGCCAGACATCTTGATACATCTTCACCATGACAGCAATAGTAATCGCTGTCTATCAAATCTCTGCACACAACTGAATCGTGTTTCATGTGTCCTGCTGTCCAGGCATGTTTGAAGCAGTGTGAGGAAGAGACGTAAGCTTCTAATCAGTCAGGTTTTCTAAGAGCTCATAGGTTACAAAAGGCTTGACATTTTAAATAGTGTTATGTGATATTTCTGTCTATTTCTGTGATGTATGGATGGATGATATTTGAGAGTCTATGATAGAGACAAAAAAGCAATTTATACACATTCTGAAAAAATTGTGAAGAGAAGCAAAGTCATAAGTATGATGGTTGCAATCAACATCATGATTCCAATACAATTATAGAATAATCTAAAGATTTCTTGTTCAATTAATCATTCAGCTATTCATAGTGAAAAACGCCATGGTAATTTCCCCAGGCTGACTGCTGAATAGGATTTTCCTCTTTTACTTACCATGGAACAAGATCATTTTGTGTTACATGCATCTATTATCAATTCTGCTCCAATGTGTAGTGTTGTGTTTGAATAAAACTTAAACACCACTGTTTTTATATACTCTAGTTTGCAATATAAGTAACATGTGCATTTCACCATTGTTCATAGTCAATGATCCTGATGCAATAAGTTCACTGATTTGTGGATGGAAAGCAACAAAGTGTATACTATTGAAACCATTAGACCAGAGTCTCAGTTATCCAGTGGCGTTTATATAATGACTCCATTAGAGAACTGCGTTAATCAAATTAATCCTGAGAGATTGTGCAAATTAAACCATGTTTTTAATGGCGAAATGTGATTTCCATGAAATGCAAATGTTATGTGTGTTATCATTAACCATACAAATACAAATGAAAAACACCTGGACTTAGAAGCTCCATGCTTGCGTCTTCAGAAGACTAGCCTTACCCATAATAGCCCAGATTTCATTGTCCTCCGCTGACAGAGCAATGAGATGGACTGTATATGAAAAAGATCACCGTGGCAACAAGAGCCCCAGTTTGAGAAGATGGGATTGTGCAGGCAGAGGCCTAATCAATGCCTCCCTGTGTCACTAAACCCGGCACTCAAATACACAAAATCACTGCCTGAATCATTACTGACAGACACAAATAAATACATTGGGTGAGAAGCAGGAAATACAGGATTACATATGAGGGCTAGCTATCAAGCATTGTGCACATTTATGAGTAAAGTCAGTTGGTGAACATCAGTTATGCATTTACCCTCTGCGATATATAAAACAAGAATACAAATACACATAATCATTCATTTCTTGGTTGAACACTTTTCTTTCTAGATTCCTGGTTTTATTATATTTAACCTGCATATTTTTACCCCCATCAAATATCCTCTGTAGAGTGATAGGCGTCTCATCAGCATGCTAACCCGCTAACCTGCTAACATTAACATAGAGTAAGCTTGCTGGCATAACAATTGTACTGTATGCTTATGCTGTATGATGATGTGAAGGTTTGGTTTGTAACATAGGCCTACAGTTGGCATGGAGGCATTTTTGCATGCGGAATCGAGTGATACAGTCAGCATTGTGTGTCTGACTATGACATACTAGTTTTACTATACAGCTAAAGCTAGCAAGAATTTGGTCTTTGTTTCAAAAGGTTTCCAGCGTTGTACAGATTGTAAATGTTAAAGGGGATATATATCATGCTCATTTGAAGTTCATAATTGAAATTTGGGTTTTTACAAGAACATGTTATTTGTTTTAAAAAAAAGTTGTAGAAGTTTTTTCTTAAATTGTCAGTCTGAATATAACTGTATCCACCGCCCAACGTTTGAAATGCTCCATTTGGGCGGCTGTCTCTTTGAGCCTCCCTAAGAAGAATTTCACTCTACTCTGATAGGCTTGCCAGAAAAAATGCAAAGACAGTTCTCAAGCTGTTGGCGTTCAGAGTAAGGCGGGGGCAGTTTATTCTAATGAGCCTGAACGTGACATAGGAAAGGGAGACACATTTAAATGTCTTGTTGAATCAAAGAGGCAACTTACTGTAGGGGCTGAACAGGGAACCAGAAATGCCAAACCCTACAGCTCTTTGAATGGCTACTTGAGGCTATCTCCAAAAGAGAGCCATAAAATGCCCAACTTGACAACAGAAATAAAAAAATGTACAGCCTGTTACATTGAGTTTTTCATAATATGTCCACTTGAACTATCATACCGAAATCCTCGTTAGTTTAGAACAATTATTGTAAGCAAGATTTAACGACAAGAACAAATAGCCGCACATTTGTACAAAATAAGTTGTTGAAATGATTTTTAAAATGCCCTGTTTTTTCTTAATGAAGCTGACAAAACCAACAACATGCACACCAAGAATGATTGGCTAAAAAGCATTCACGTGAGAAGAGATATGTAAACAACGACGTAGGATCCATATTTTGCCTCTGGATGATGAATGTCAAAATGAAATGGCATAGTTGAGAGATAAAATGTAACACATATATTCATATATCAGTAGTTTTTTTAGATGTGTTAGACTTAGCTTTCAATGCTAATACATACAGAAACAAAAACTACAGCAACAACATGACATTTCTCTAACATCATATTTAGTTCTGAATCTCTGAATCATTTTAAAATTGCAGTGAGGACACTAGGACCATGTGGAAACGGCAGCTCTGGTCCTGTTTATTGCTGCCTCCTGCTCCATCTCTGCAGTCACTGTGTGAGTGGAGGGGGGAAGCAGAGAGTGAGCTGGCGTCTTTGCATGCATTTACATCAGCATCGTTTTAGAAAAACCTCTGCTGCCACAGCTCAAGGCACCCAGGGAGGAGGATGCATGAGGCAGATCAAGGGATGGGAAGAGAAGCAGGCTGCTATGGAGGGAACTGCCTCAACAGCATTCACAAGGTGCAGTGATTGATGTCCACTGTGCACCTCAGCAGTGGGAACTACACCAGGTTTTCATCCTCAGAGACCAAAAGCAGCAGACAGATGCATCAGGAAATACTCTGATTCAGGTACATGATGCTCTCTCTCTGTTTCCTCCCCTCACGCTCCCTGATTCTCACATTTTCTTGCTTGCTCTCCCCCTCTTCTTCTTATCTGCCTATAAGCCTATATTTCTGAGTGCAATGATAAATGTAATTTGTGATATGAAAATATATAGAATGTGGGCCTTGCTTTATACAGTGGGTGTAATGCATTAATGATTAATATATAAATGTGTAGGCGGTAAGACATGACTAAACCAGGCAGGAGGGTTCAACTGAATTGGGAGTACCCCTATGTGTGATTTAGACATTTTGCTCACTGAGGGCAATCGTTAATAGGTGATGAACGGGTTCAGAGCTACATTTTTTGCCTTTTTCGTACTGTGATCAGAGCAGAAAAAAGGAAGAACATCCCAGGCTTTTGTTACATCTGTGACAGAGAGCATTCATATCAGTAAGCCACTGGATTTCCTTGATCTGAAACATACTTACAGCAGCAGCAGCAACCAATGTCGGTTTGTTGTCTGTAATAGCCAGGCATAGTTAATATGCAGACAGCCTCTGCAACCTATGAATACCCACAAGTTTTCGAATTGAAAAACTACATGGTGGCCAGGCATTTAGTGTGAGACATGCTATTGTGCATGTACACAAGCAGAATGATTGAATCTCTAACCATAAGGGACATTAATATGTGAAGTATTTTTAGCTATGCACAATCATTTTAGACCTTGGGTAACAGCTCTCAAAGCCGTCATATGTATGATGGAATAGGGCATTGTTGTTAGGATTTGGGATTTAGCATGCATTTGTGCTTTGTAAGGATGAGTGCTTGAAAAGTATTGATCACATGCAGCCCTTCAGCAAAGGAGCCGACTGGATTTATCTTTGACCTTTTTTATAGTAATATTAACAGGAAGGTAAAGAAGGTTGTCAAAAATACTTTATATTTGTTTTTCCTGGAGGATCAGAGTCACTCAATTGTTTTAGGCATGTGATTTTGCTGCAAATTTATAAACATTAATCTTATGTGGCTTAACTATTTTGTGTGATGATTTATGATAGTTTGAATAATTTAACTCCTTCTGTTTTTTTCTAAAAGGGTACCAAGTGTCCCTACATTGAATAATGCAAAGGCTACTTAATTGAGTTAATTGGTTTAAGGGCGGACTTTGGATTACCTTATCAGTAAGATTGCCTTAACAGAGATTTGAGAAGCTAAAGAGGATTTTATCATGTGAGTGTATTAATCCTAATGGTAGCTGCAGCACAAGTGAAACTCAGCACGAGCTACTGATTGGAAAGATTAGTTCATATAACCCAGAAGTGCATAAGGGGTTGCTCATTATAGGAATATATGCAAACTCCAGTGAACACACACTCATTTCTGTTATTTTCTCTCTCTCTTGTTTTTAGGAGGGGTTGTCACTGAGGGCAGAAATGAAAACGTATTAAGGAATCATACAATCTGACCCGACCTCCTGAAGATCACAGCATCCTACTCTGGGCAAGAAGGCAGCTTTCGACCTGATTTTCAAGCCGCTGTTCTCTGGCCGTACTTCCTGGCTGTGAAGGATGGGTGATGGGCCTGTAACTGCTCCTGCCTGCCTGCCTCATCCCACCCTTCAATGGAGCCGACGTGGAACTCCTCCCACGCACCTCCACAGTTCACATCCAACATGTCTGCCTCCTATCTGCCTGAGGGCTGGGCTCTGTCCCAGTCGCTAGCCCTGCTGGCCATGCTGCTCATGGATCTGCTGGCTGTGGTGGGTAACGTGGCTGTCATGGCGGTCATTGCTAAGGCCCCGCAGCTCCACAAGTTTGCCTTCGTCTTCCACCTGTGCGTGGTGGACCTGCTTGCAGCCCTGGTGCTGATGCCCCTTGGCATGCTCTCAAGCCGAGCCTTCTTTGGGGAGGCCCTGTGCCGGAGCTACCTCTTTCTCAGTGTGTGCCTGGTTAGTGCTGCCATCCTCTCCATATCCGTCATCAATGTGGAGCGATATTACTACATCATACACCCCATGCGCTATGAAGTGAAGATGACTATTGGCTTAGTGGCGTCAGTGCTGGTGGGGATTTGGGTCAAAGCCCTGGCCATGTCTGCTCTGCCGCTGCTCGCCTGGTTCCTGCAAGGTGGGAGAACTCCTCTGCTGGAGAGCAGTGGGGTTGGGGGAGGAGGAGGTGGGGCAGTTCCATCTCCTCCTGCTCAGGGTCACAGGCGCTGCTCACTACATTGGACAGGGGGAGGGTCGAACCGCTTGGCCTTCATGGCCCTGTTTACTCTGGTGTATTTCCTGTGTCCACTAGTGGTTATTCTTGTTGTGTACTGCAATATGTTCAAAGTGGCTCGGGTAGCGGCCATGCACCACGGGCCTCTTCCCACCTGGATGGACACGCCTCGTCGCCAGCGGTCAGAATCACTCAGCAGCCGATCCACAATGGTTACCAGCTCTGGGACGGGCACGGGGACAGACAGAGCCACTCCGCAGCGTCCCTTTGGGGGAGGAAAGGCTGCAGCAGTGTTGGCAGCAGTGGGTGGGCAATTCCTTTGTTGCTGGCTGCCCTACTTTACTTTCCACCTGTATTCAGCAGTGGCTGCCAGCCCTCCAGCCACACTAGCCTCTCTGGAGGAGGTGGTCACCTGGATTGGCTACTTCTGCTTCACCTCCAATCCCTTCTTCTATGGCTGTCTCAACAGACAGATCAGGGAAGAGCTGGGAAAGCATCTGCCTTGTCTGTTCCGTCGAGCAGGGGCAGACATAGAGGACAGACTGCCCAGCAGGGAAGGATCCATAGAGGAGAATTTCCTTCAATTTCTTCAGGGCACCGGCTGCAACTTGGATCCACAAAACTCTCACAGCACCTCCAGCCCCAAAGGGGAGGCCTGCTGCCCCGCGGCTGAGGCCCAGCCCCCGGAGCCAGCACGGCCCATACCCATAGATTTCCGTATCCCGGGACAAATTGCAGAGGAGACTTCAGAGTTTATAGAGACTGAACAGGCGATAAACAACCACATATATACAGACAATTGAGTTTGTAATGTCTTGTTGATCATTCAGATATGAACTTTTTCAGGAGTTATATTTGAGTGAAAAAGTAAGAGACTCTACTGCAAGCTGTCAAACAGGTAACTCAGTTCACTTAAATGACTTTAAATTGTATCTTTGAAACACTTAGCCTCATCACATTTTTAAACGGTCACAATAAAATGAAGTTGTTTGAGAAGCATTTCAAACTGTTGTTTGTGAACAGGGAAATGACAAAAATAGCCTTCCACACAAACTAAGCTCTGTACAGTAAATTACTTTCATGAATACTAATTTGTGAAAGCCTTTTTTGACAATAATTATATGTTTTGTTTTATGAAAGTATCTAAATTGTCTTCAGAGTTAAATGTTTTCAGAATGGCCCTATTTGATTTGAAGTTAGGGAACACCTACTGAAATTCATTGGCTTACACTCAATCAACTAATTTGCTTTTGTGCGGTGAAGCTCTGCTGTTCGACGAATTGCCTTTAGTATTCAGGAAATAAGATTAACGGCTCCACACAAACTGATTCTGTATTTGTACCTGCCAAATCAATCATTTTTGAGTCTTTGGTAGGTTGATTACTGTTGAGTAAGTAATGTCGAAGAAGCTAGCAATAAAATGCACACATTTAAAAGTATTCTGGGGATTAATTGAAGGGAAGGCACGGTTTTCCCTTGTGATTGGTAGCTGTGCGTTCATCAATGATAATGCCTCTCTTAACCCTTATGCCAATCTGATTATATGGGAGCGTCCATATTGTGGCCTCATGGAATTACAAGTTGTTTACAGATCACCATCAATTTTGTTCTCCTTTCTTAGGTGCTTGACCGAACACATATTTTTTTTAATATACTAAAAAGACGATTTATTTCAACTTAGTTTAGGATGCAGGTTGACTCCATAACTCATCTTGAGTGTCACGTAGCTTTATGCCATGTGATGTATTTCCAGTTGATTTTGATTTAGCTCCTAAAAATCAGTATTCTCTCGATGCACTGCATTACGCTCAAATTTGATTCTATTTCTTACATTTGTTAAATGTAGGCTACTAAATTGTATGCTCTGTTTAATAAACATGTATACGTTTGGGTTGTGTGTTTAACTGAGCATGCCCATGTTTACTTTAATTAGTGAGTGTTAGTATTTGTTATGGATTTCGTTACAAGGAGGCTAATTTACTTTTACACGTATGCAGACTTTGATCTTTATTTGTTAGTTTTTCATCTGTGTAAAAATGTTTTATCCCAGAAGGAGAAATACATATAGATTTTGTTTGCTGATCGGGGCATTTACAGTACCTCAAATGCAGGAAAACTCAACATTATTTTAAAGTCTTGCGCTGTTCCATGTCAAGTATGACTCTTGAACACTTTGTTATAATGTTGCAAGGATGTTAAAGCAGGTGTTATGTGCTCCTTCATTGGAAATGAGGCTCATACTTTTTAGGATGCGATGAAATGGTATTTTTTAGCAAACTGTTAGGATAGATATGATAAACTATATGAGGAAATGTTGAGTGAAATGACTTTCTTATGTAATGTGGATACAGGGTTTTTTAGATCTTATTTTGAGTTACAATACCAATCCAAAATCAAAAGCTTGTTCAGCTTGATATCCTCTTTTCATCACGTCTAAATATCCCAAACTGTGAATGATGTTCAATGTTTATGTTAGGGTTTTCACTTTTTCAGAGATTGTTTTTTATGCTGTGATAAAAAGAAAATAATTAAGTCCACTATACTACAATGATATGATTGTGTTTTAGAAGAAGACATGGCTAAAACGTGAGTGAGAGATGCTGTTGTAATAAAGAGTTTCTATGTTTGTTAAACATTTTGGTTGCATTTTCATAATTTTAACAAAGTTATGGGGCTGCTACTGCCACACATTAATTGAAGGGATTGCAAATACAGATGGCTTAATTTGCTCAACATCTCAGTGTGTGTGGCTTGATCTCTCTGCTTTGCTTTGATATTCCATTGCAAAGAGGGTGGTGGGAGGATACGACACTTTCAAACACTTTGACCTTAAGGTAACATTTAAACTTCAAAAGGCCAAAGCCAGGAGTATGACCTTAATCAGAGAGAAAAGATGGATACAGTAGATAGATAGAATAATAGACAGAGATAGAACAATAGAACGATAGATCGATAGACAGACAGACAGACAGACAGACAGACAGACAGACAGACAAGACAGACAGACAGACAGACAGACAGACAGACAGACAGACAGACAGACAGACAGACAGACAGACAGACAGACAGACAGACAGACAGACAGACAGACAGACAGACAGACAGACAGACAGACAGACAGACAGACAGACAGACAGACAGACAGACAGATAGATATATAGATATATAGATATATAGATAGCTAGATAGAACAGATAGATTAATTTAAAAAAAACTCAGTTTAATGCTGTATTCCTGTTGGAAGATGCTAGTGCACGACAGGCCTCACACCTCAACGATGGACCTCAGTCAAACCGCCCCCAGCTTCGCCAGGCTCTGCCATCCCCATGGCAATTATTACCTAGTGACATTTCTCAGTGCTGTGGTGGGCGGGAGGAGGAGCATGCTCTGTTGGGATCCAACAAGACGCCCTTATCTGAGACTTCTTAAAATATAGTCTCTACTTAATCAGAGCTGACATTATTCTGTTGTTGTTGTTTTTTTCCCACAATCTCTGGATTGCTTGTGTGAGTATCTCTGTTAACTGAGACAACTGTACGCTCTATTCTGCTGTTTATAATGACCATTGATTATTTATTATTGGTAATCTTGGAGTCCTTTGCATTAATGACTTTAGTTTTTACATTTACATTTTAAGACTCTTAACTTCTTTTATAATATATATATATATTTTATTTGCAAACGAAACAACATAGAGATAAGCTTTTTTTCGACCTGTTAAATAACCTGGTAATAGGGATGTAATACAATGCACAATTTAACTATTGTTGAAAATGGGATACTTTATGTCTTGAGATTAAAACTAACTGTAAAGAGCAAAACACATAGGTTATAGAAGGAGAAGTTGCAAACCGAAAATATAAGAATTTCAGGACAATAGGTTTAACAGGGGTTGCTCTTAGCCGAAGCAAAAAAAAGAGTCAAATATCAGGACTCAGAATGTCTGAAAGAGGGCAAAGGGCATAGCTAGAGAAAACATATTAAACCAAGGCCTAAACATAATGTAGATTATTGAGTTACTGTAATTATAAAAGGGCCGAATGGCTTTATAGCCCTAGCTTAATTTGCCATTGTGGCTGGTGTAATCCCATAGAAAGTTGGGCTCTATTTTCAGTTGTACTTGTGACAGACCTTGCGCTGTAAGGGCAAATACTGTCACTGAACTTACCCAATATGTTGACTCCAGATGTTTTCTGTCACTCACTACCTATCACAAAGAAGTAAAAGGAGATGGACAAGAGTGACGCTCGATTCTTTGGCAGAAAAAAAAATTGGAAAGGACATGGACTGTGAGTTTTTTTTAAACTATCCAGGCCCATGTAAACATTTCACAAAAGTAAATGTGTGAGGGACATGTTTCTTGTACATACAAAGTGACACACACCGTTCAAATCTTGGACTTCAGTCTTGAAAGCCCTGAGTCAGCAAACAGTGTTCCCATTTTTTTATTTATTTCTGTCTGGCTGTTGGTTAAATGTCCTAACAGCAACTTAAGTAAACAATGCATTGTCCAGCTAATATCATAATTAAAGCTGGTGTAATAAGGGGAAAGAGGCCGACAGTACAAGTGGGATGTGGCCATTGGTCATACATGAGTTTACTTTACCTACTTTTAAGCTTCTCAACTACATTCAGGGGAAATATTTTAAGTTTTACAAACCTTAACAAAACACTTGTGTGTGTTCCTGAGTGTTCAAAAAGACCTTTGAACCGCGCCTGTCACAATGGGCGGTGTCTCCTTTAAAGCGTCTTTTGAGGAAACAGAAGGGATTTACGTCAAAACAAAAACACGCAACGTTACTCGAGCACGGGTAAAGTTCAATTCTTGCTAATTAATAGTTTGCTAGCCTGAATTGTTATGTTTTAATATATTTTATTTGGATTTGTTTTACTTGTCGTCAGCTTTTCACTAAGTAACGTAAACTAACCGACGAAACACTAACGTCAGCTGGTTGTTTATTAACGGCTAAAGGAATAACACGTTAAGTGAAGGTCGTGTTAAATCGTCTGTGTGGTAACAAAAAGTTAATTTAAAACGTAATATTAGCCAGCCACGTAAAGGTGTTTAGAAACCATAACGGAAAGTTGTTTATATCTAAGAGATGACCGTCCAGGTCTCTGCTGATAGTTTATCAGTTTGCTAGCTATCTCCTGTGAGTGTATCTGGCTAAGGTCTGCTGCTTTGTGTTTTCTGCAGGCGGACTACAGGCTGTTCGCAGCTTGTACTCAACCATGTCAGGTGGTGGTAAGTCAACCAGCAATGACACAGTGAAAACATCTTTCATTTATTACAATAACTTATTACAAGCATTTAGTCAGTTGTGTAAAGTAACTAAGTAGATTTACTCAAGTACTGGACTTAAATACCATTTTGAGAAACTTGTACTTGAGTATTTGCATTTTTTTGCTACTTTGTACTTCTACTTCCCCTTCAATTCAGAGGTAAATCGTGTACTTTTACTCCACAAAATCTATTTAATACCTTTGGTTACTTTGCAGATTTGGAATAATTATGTGAAATATAATCAACACCTTAAATCAGACTTTAGTTACACCTGGAGTAACATTCACAAGCTACCCTGCAGTATACACAGTTATTGAAACATGCTCCACCTTTACCAGCTTTGAGAACACTTTAATGCTTCAATAATTATAATCAAAACATATAATATATATTATTCTGAAATGGACCAATCTGCAGAATGTCCACTTTTACTTTTGGTACTTTAAATATATTTGGATCCTAATACTTTTGTACTTTTACTCGAGTAACATTGTGATTGCAGCACTGTTACTTGTAACAGAGTATTCCTACACTCTGGTAGTCCTGCTTTTACTTAAGTACAATATCTGACTACTTCTTCACCTCTGCACTAAATTATGTTTATAAGTGATTGTTAATTTAAGACACGGGACGTTTAGCTTAAAAGATCTCAAGCGAACTGCGTAACTCCATGTTGAACATATAACCTCTTTATAACAGCTGAAATCTCTGACTCTTTAAGTCAGAGATCTATCTTGGGCAAATCATTGTCTTTATTGGCCTTGATACAATCAAAGGAGATTGTACATCTTCTGAAAAACCAGTGGTTACTTTGCATAATATAATATAACAGTTTTTAGTTAAAGTATTAAACTTTGAAGATTATTGCTACACGTGTTGAAAAGTACATATGTCACAAGCAAAAGTGATGCTTTTGGGAAATACATGAGCACACTAACTGTTATCTAAAGACACAAAAAAACGAATTTCTCCGCATCAGTTTAGTTTTTGCAGATGGTCACAATCAGTTGTGTTTGGCAGTAGCCCTCTACTTGCTCTAATTAAAGGAAATAATACTTTGTTCAGTTGGGTTTCACATTCCACATTTTCTATAAAAAGCTTAATGGAAAGTGAGAACACTGGGTTTTTTGTTGTATGACCTCTGCAAACATTGAACTGAAATCCATGAGCTTTGCTCTAAAGGAGTGGAAAAAAACAAACAAGCTGCCAGTTATACCCAGTGGTCTCATTTTTAGCAAAAGGGTAGACAGACTGCTTAAGCAAACAGAAGAAGCAAAGAGAAACCAAAGGAGCAATAACAAGAGCCACCAAGGTAAGAGAATATCAGTCATTTGGATTCAGAAATATGTCTGATAGCCAAAGCGGTAGATTAGTTTTTAGTTTCAAGGCCTCTGTACCAGATGGTGAGCGTCAGCCCTCAAAAACTGGGTCAGACTTTAGAAAAGGCTGGAGACAAAACAAGACCTTTATTTCAACGTGATAAAAGGTAAACATTGACTTTTGTCAGGAACTCATCAGGAAGATATTGTTGTCCCGCTTATTTGATAGGAAGGATACATTTTAAGTTTTGTTATTGTTTTTTTAAACTCCAGGTCATAGTTTAAACATGCTTGTGTCTTTGTTTTTAGGGTTAGGGTTAGTTCATTCAGGCTTGTAGTTTGTGAATTAGTTTTAGAGATCAGTTTGAGATTTTAGTGTTTTGGGCTTAGACTCAGATGAAGTTGTAGTATTATATATGTGATCCACTCATTTCTTAACTTTCTAAATATGTAACCGTCCTCATAATGAAACTCAAAAGTTGTGTTCAAAGTCTTTCAAATGTAGTCCCAATGCCAGTTTTCTTTTAATCATAATCCTTCAGTTGCATCAAATAAGTTGTATTCTGAAGTGTTTGAGTATGTGAGGTCGGTTGTTGAGGAGGTTAAATAATTGCTTAGTAATAAAGTTGTCAGTGCTAGAAGGTTATAAAACTGCAGGTACTGTATATTTGCTCAAACTGAAGCTGCTAGATCAACATTTGTGTGCTCAGACGAGAAAAACACATTTTTGTCTAACTGCATAAGAAGTTCATGCCACTAGGTGGTGATCTCTACTCTCTTTTTGTAGCTCTCTTGCTCTGACTTATCTACTGATGGCTCCCAAAGCCCAAAATACAATACAAGGCTTATAATATATACTATAGTAAGTGTATTTTGAGCTTCAGTAACAAACAGCACATGTGATGCAATTTTGTGGAGTATGTGCAAATTGATCTTTGAGATTAAACATTCTTAATCTTCAATATTTTAGTATTTTTCAGTTTTGGTAAATTACAAAACAACAACTGTTCATGTTTTACTTGCTTAGGCT